TAAGCTCTGGTCGAGCAGAATTGGATATTTAGATCAAGTTATGTGCGTTAGGTCAAATGTAAGTATATTATGTCTACAACACGTTCATCGTGAATACTATGCCAATTTCTAGTAGAATATTATGTAAATTCTATATGTGTTATCAGAGTAAGATGTTTCCAATATGTATTAATGCTTGTACAAGAAATTATAGGATTATTTTTTTATTATTATTTGTTAGAAGTGCCAACATTCAGGTCTCCCTCTCCCTGTTCTGTTTAGGGGGAGTGTTTTTGGTGTTAAGAGCAAGAGCACGTGCGAACCAGTTTTGCAAACCGGATACAGGGCAGCATGTACTCTGTCTCTGTGAAGCCACAGCCTATCTGAGGCGAGGCAGAACACGCTAACATACAATTAACCTCATATAATTGTTTTGATGATTACATTGTTTATAATTTGTTTTCTAGTAAACTTTTCAGTCTTCTCCTGGGTACCTCAATTGGTGCTCTGCCAGGCATCAACAACTTAACACTCCCATTACAATTGTCTTCTATCATTCCAACAACTGCATTTGCAACTTCTGCAGGCCTGTAAGAATATACATTTTCGAACAGATATAGTATTTGACCTGCACCTTTGTCTTTGAGATTAAAAACAGTGATTTGTGAAATTAAAAACCTTTGTACACTTTACAACTTGGTTGTAGCATTGCGATAATATGTGGTATTTTACACCACACGAGTTTAAAACATTAATATTCATAAGCGAGTCGAATGAATGAACAGTGAAATGATCATATTTTTCCGCATGTCATCAGATCTGATAAAAATTCAGTCATTATACAATTCACAACAATATTTTAATTATCCAACACAATTTGGAGTAGTCCCAACTACGCCCCCCAAAATGCCGAATTTTGAGGATCGATGATTTGAATTAGGGCAACAGGCCCAGTGTTTTGTTTCTTAATAAATATCTTTAAAATTAAACCCTGATGTCACACATTCGAATAAATACATATCCTGTGTAAAAAAAATGAACGAAAACGTGCGTGTCGCGTAAACACCACAATCGTCTAGATTTAACTTACATTATTGTCCGACTATTAAGATAAATAGAGTTGACATCATCAGGCTGGCGTGATATTACCTTGATTCTAGTTTCCACTACCCATGGGCAAATTACGCATATATTAATGCCATTCTCGGCCATCAAGCGTTCATTCTGGAAAATGAAGATTTATAAGCACCGGTCATCAGTGTACGTATTGCTTGTTAGCAGTATTGATATCGAGTCTATTGTTTGCATATCAAACAAAAATACCCAAATTCAAAACTGTCATCATTCCTTATTTGGGATTTCAACTGTATCATACAATTTAATACCTACACATGCAGCCCTAGAAAATCCAACCACACCAAATTTACTAGCAGTATAAACAGGTGCCAGGCTGTTACCTCCAATAACACCTGAAAATGGATGTTTGAGCAACCTTATAAGTTGAAGGGTGGCGCAGCGCGTGTTCGAATTTAATGTAAACAAACAATGTATTTTACACGCGTTGTATACGTCGCTATGAGTCCCATATCGAACAGGACGCGGCGCCACGACCACCGCCCTTTAAATGAAATAAAAGGTGTTATTTTATTTGTGTTTTTTTGTAATAGGATTAACAATATAGTAAAATACCTGCAAGTGATGATACATTTATAATAATGCCTCCATGGTTACCGTGCATCTTGCCCATATATGGAACACTCGTGTAGGACGCCATGATAGTCCCGTGCTGTAACATTGTGCAGAGACATGTACGTTTATTTTTACTCTGTAAATTATGTTATAAATTATGTTTTGTCGCTTGATAAATTCCTAGACGTCTCTATAACCCGCCCGTTTATGGAAAGATGAACTTCCTTCTAGAATTTACAGGGGTAATTATCCAAGAAAATGCGACAAACTAAGTGGGGGTATGTCTACAGAGTGCGAGTACAGAGATGAAATCGTTCTGTTTTTGTAGTGAGAAGTATCACACTATTTGCCAAACGAGATTGTCGAAAGACCTACGTGACTTTTATTTTCTCAACGTCGACTTCCTGGTAAATGTCACAGTCCGGGGGTACAGTTTGCATACACAAATGAAAGTACACGTGTACTCAGGTGTCTTTTTTTATCTATACGGCCAGATTAGAACCTCTGTTGGTTCTCCTTCTAGGGTAACTAACACCCACTAGATTTCCAGCCATGTTCGTTCGCTCGCTACGCCTGTAAGTTTTGTTTGGCTTCAACGTATTCGTCAAATCACCGGCCTCCCGTAGAATTTGAAAATAACTATTACACAGACAGGACAGTTGCCAATAACATCTACCTTGATGGTTTGTAAACACTCGTGGATGGGGCTAACGATACATGTTCCCCGGTACACACCCCTACGCACAGTCAATCCAGCCGGTCCACATCAGCGATCTGGGGTAGTAGTACAAGGCCGCGGCGGACACCGAAACGGCGTTCCAGTCAGAATGTGTCGTTCGCTCGGGCATCACTACAATGTTACTCAACACCACACATCAGTCACTCAGTCACTCAGTCACTCATCCACTCGAAATGTATATATCTTTAATATTTGATGGATTATAAATAACTAGTTTCGTTCTTAGTTTGCCATATAAAATTGTGAAAACAATTATTCAAATTCACGGGAAACTGTTCCGTTCACTGTGGACTATCTCCGCCTTTTATTGGCAGCAAATCCACTAGTATTGAAAACGATACAAAATAATAATAATGGACTCAA